GGTAGCTCACATGATCAGAGTGGGGCTATTGGAGGAGTGGGCACAGTGGGGAGAGAAGGGCTGGTGGAGGGGGGCAGGATGCAGAAGGGCTGAGGGCAGTAAGAAGGGCAGGAGTCAGGACAGCAGAGGAGTGTGCGGGTGCGGGGGACCAGGGGAGCTGATGAAATAAGGGGAGGAGACAGGGCAGCAGAGGGAAAAGGGAAAGGTTTAGAAGATATTTATTAATAACTTGGGTTTCACAGTGGCACATCCAAACAAGCCACATGAACTCAGTACTGGTGCACAAAAATTCATTCTGCTCATGAGAGGAAACTCTTAGAGGGGACACTTCCCACAGCCTCTCTGCCCCCTAGTTAATGTCACACACATTGTGTTAATGCAATTGCAAGATAGTTGCATGAGGGGGGTTTGGAAGGGACTAAACTAATCCCTATTGGTAGGAGGTTGGTGGGAAAAGTCCTTAGAGAGGGGTCACATGACACCTTTTACTTCTGGTCATGTGTCCATCTTGCCCAGAGAGTGTTACCTCCATAGGCCTGGCTAATGGGAGTCAGGGGCGTGGTTAACAGAGGTCAGGGGTGTGGCTAATGGGGGTCAAAGAGTAAATTTAAAAAACATTATTTGATGTGAAAAAGTGGGCTGTTCTCAGTGCATTTCCCGGGCCTATTATGATTACCAGTCCACCCCTGGGAACATATAAACTGATGCTAGTGCTAAAGCCAGCAGCAAGGTCAAAGACTGTTAGGATGAAGTCAAGGTTCTAACATTTGGCTCCTGCTTAGTGAATTACATTAAATGGAGAAAGTTTGGCAAATGTATTTGTTAAAGTTTAACAAAGCATTCACTAATAAAACCCAAAGTTTAAGTATTCAGGTTGCTGTTCTGAATCTGGCCATACTGCCAATTATTATCTTCTAGTGCTATATAGACATAGTTTGATTATTAAAGTTTGTGACAGCTCCTAGTGATGGTAAAAGGCTAAGAAAACTCCAAAGATAGCATGAATGCTCTTGTTACAAAAAATAGTGTGCGCCAGCAAAAATATGTTTACATTTGTGTAACAGGCTTGTTGAGTTGTGGGAATTAAATATTTCATATATAATGCTTATGGTGTAAAGCAAAATAGGGTTTTTCCATGTTAATAATTTAACATGTAATTAAACTGGGTCAAGACCCTAGTATCTATCTTCTTTAAAAAAAGAAAAAAAAAGAACTCACAACAACAAGCTTCTGATATTGCTTGTGCCTATCTTAGTCCAGCAATGGTTATTTTGCCCTGGAACTGCCACTCCTGTGATGAAGAATATCAGTGTATGCGCAACAAAGTTCAGATGTTAAAAGTTGCTGATCAGTGTCAATTATATTGTTTATATCACAAGTATCTATCTTCTTTAAAAAAAGAAAAAAAAAGAACTCACAACAACAAGCTTCTGATATTGCTTGTGCCTATCTTAGTCCAGCAATGGTTATTTTGCCCTGGAACTGCCACTCCTGTGATGAAGAATATCAGTGTATGCGCAACAAAGTTCAGATGTTAAAAGTTGCTGATCAGTGTCAATTATATTGTTTATATCACAATTGAAGCATTGCACCCACATGCTCTGATGGTGTAAATGGGTAGAGTGAATAGAGTTATGCCTACTCCATTTTGACCTATATCTTTGTTTAGAAATCATCCTTGATTAGTAGTCAAATTTTTATACACAATTTCCCTGTGCCATCCCTTTAACACATTTTCGTGTACCAATGCCAGACAGAAGAAACTGCTGCTAAATAAAGACTAAAAATTCTTCAGTGATAGGAATTTTCATACCTGACTGTAACTGTTGGATTATTATGATAATAAGAGTGTAAAACAACTTCCATGCTTAATGAGCACAGACAAATGCATTATAAAAGCATCTGCTTATAATTCTCAAGCATCTGGCTTCCCAGTAAGCAGCAGTTCAGCAATTACTAGCATGCACTAGAAGTCTCCCTGATCCTATTCATACTGAAACATGCTAGTCCACATTGCAGGTGCATGATATGTAGTATTTCTGGAGGGAAGAAGTGATCACCTGGAACTGGTCAGAAAATCCAACAGCAATTTCATGACAAAGACTTATTTTTGTTTTAAAGTATCCCAAATGGAGCCACTCACTGCTGTCCCATTCCCCCACCCTTGTGTTGTTTTTAACCATTCTTCCTTGACCTCAAGCTTCCAGAAGAAAAACTTAAATGTGAATCTCAAAAGCTCAGTAACAAGAAGACAACTAAAAAGGACCTCAACAATTTTTTTTAAAACCTCATGATTTAAAAACTGATTTCCACTTGACTCATGACTTTTGAATACTTGGGGTTAGCAACATACTATTTCCAAGTTCCACCCATATGTCTCTGACCTACCTTAGTCAGGATCTGGTGCTCAGATTCAGATTCCTTCTCACTGCTGCACAGACATGCTCTGGATCCCACACTTCAACAAGCTTACTGTAGAAACAAGGCACCCTGCTAATGGAAGGAAAGAAAGGAACATTTTACATTGTCACAGTCTATAAAAGGTTTCTGTCTTTAAAGGAAGAGAGACCAGTTCTACTTCCTACTGTTAAAGCACAAAGACTCAATGAACTTGCAATACCTTTAGAACACTTTAACAGGATTGGGCCTGGGAGGCTTTTATTGCTTCTGTCCAGAACAAATGTGCTATTGAAAACTGCCTAGTCCTACTCTGCCTTCTAATTTGCTTTGAATGAAACTGGCAATCTGAGGCCCAGCCACTGCCCTTAACTTTCTTCCTTTTTCAGAAAGAACCCTAGTCTCTGCTCAGATCAATTGAAGTTTAATTAGCACAAGGTAGGCCTGACAGCTGGGAAAGCAGAACTTGTCTTTAAAAGGAGCTGCATCTGGAAGAAGCCACTAATTCCTTATTTGCATAGAAAGCTAAATCAGTGAGAAGAATCTATAAGTACTCTTTGTACACAGTAGGTTGCAGAACTGTTACCAGCAAGTCAGACTTTTGTACCAGTTGCAGATTGGCTGCCCAGCTTGCTTCCCAGAGAGACACACCAGCTCTTGCTAGTTTATGCAAAGTAAGAGAAGGCACCACTCAGTGGTTGAACTGTAAAATACAATTTCACATTTCAATACAGAGCCTATGGCAGATACAGCTGTGATTCCATTTTCCACACACTGGCTATTTAAATGTAAAAAGCCAGCCAATGAACTGGATAGCTCAGGGATTCAGACACTATTCAAGAATGAGGGAGACAATGAGTGTTTTCTCTCTAGCAGACATTTGATGTTCCTTGTATCTTTTCCCTTAATCTACAATTCAAACTCATCCAAGCCTGAAGACAGCCATCTTACTCTTGCACATGGAAATTAAAAAAGGAAGCATATTTAATTGAAAAGAGAACTAGTAAAAACATGTAATTTTCTCATTAGAAAAAAGAAATTTACATTGAAATTTTAAAATTTCAAGATGTCACCAAAACACCAGTAATTTCAATCAGCTGGTCAGAAAATAAAAAGCAACAAATATCACAGCAGTTTAATCAAAGGTCTTCTTGATATTGTCACCAAAATGGCAACCAGTTTTATTCAAATACTAGCATGAAAGTAGGAGATGTTTATAGACGGGATTGAAGTGCTGGAAGGGTTTTTCTACTGTCCCAGTGTTTTAAAAATGGTTGGTTAATTGTGCGAATGGTGGAGTTACCCTTCTGATGGGGATCCCCACCGAGCCATATGAGCAAAGTAGAGATTTTAATCGCTGTGTCACATCTTGACAGCATATGATTATGGATATTCAGAAGGAACAATGTCCTATGAAGTCAATTCAATTTTTTAAAATGGAAATGGACAAAAAAAATCCCAGCCCATAGATGATTGATCTATTTTCCCATATTCGTTTCTTGTATTTTAAGTGCTACTATGAAGCTGTAGCAAGTCAACATTCACAGAAGATTTCACCTAGGGAGTTCTTTCAAAACAACACAGCCCCTCCCCTGGGGCTCCTTTTACCTCTACATTTTTCCAAAGAATCCAGATACTCCCTTGCAAATAGGTAATAAAATTTAACCCCAGACAACCTTATGTTACATACATATTACCCTCTACTTACCTGCAGAGAAGGAAGCTGCTTAAATAACCCCACCCTCTTCCCAGCATGCCTTGCCTGACTACAATGTCCAGCATTCTTTCTGCTCTAAGGCAAAACAGCACACCCACCCAGCCTACAGTTTGGGGTTCCAGTCACAGGCTCTCAACAACAGCTGGATTTTGCTTTCCAAACCTTTTATACTGCCTTTTCCAGATAGCTTCCTGTCTTTCAGCAGCTGCCTTTCTTTTCCTACAGCCTTTCTTGATTGGAAAGTCCCTGAATTGAGGTAGTAGGCCATAAGGGCTTACTTTGCATCCCCCAACATACTTACAAAATTCAGTGCAATATCTGTTTAATCCTCTACTTGAATCTACTGTGAGCAGGGGCTGGTCCAGAGGAAGTGAATAAGTTCAGGTCAACAATGAATCTAAGGGGAAAATGGTTGTTGTCTCATAGCTGTTTGGTAGCTTATGTGAAACAAGGTTAGATGTCTTAGTTCTACTTCCCCATGAACAGGTGTCATATCACAAAATCCACCACAAGTATAGTTACTTGGTTCTTTTGTTGGCAATCTAATCATAGAGATTGAAGAGATATGAAGAATGAATTATCCTCTGATGCCCAGACATCATCCCTCCAGATCAGTACAGGCAGTCCCCGACTTACGCGGATCCGACTTATGTCGGATCCGCACTTACGAATGGGGCTTTTCTCGCCCTGGAGCTCATGGGCGGCGAGTCGCCACCCGTGTCCTCCGGGGCGAGAAAAGCTTCTCCCGGTCTCCCTGGTCTGCTGGGGTGGTCCAGCGGCTTTGCTGGACCCCCCCAGCAGACCAGGGGGACAGGAGCAAAGCCTTGGAGCATGCCCGCAGCGGGACAGCCCAGGCGCGCCTGGGCTGTCCCACTGCGGGCATCCTCCGAGGCTTTGCTCCCTGTCTCCCTGGTCTTCTGGGGGGGGGGGGCAAGGCAGGGGCCCCCCCCCCC